AGGCATATTTGGACTCCATTTAGTTGGCTGTTCAATCATGCTGAAAAAGCTTAGCACAAAAACATAATGGAAATAGGTCAAAACACTAGCCAGAATATTCCATCATATACAAACAAAATGTCAAACCACTAAGTTGGAGGGTGTGGGCGTCATTGACTCTTTTGGTCTAAAAAATTCACTTCAAAACAGAGAGATATTGCAAACGTATACTACTTCTATTAAACATATATATGATTAATAGCTGTATATATATACACGTGTTTTGCATCACAAAGAGTCGGCATTGCTTTAATCTCTGATCATTAAGGGTGCGCATGAAAGCTTAGTAATTGACCCTTTCTTTATGTTAATCAAAGTAGAGTTAAAAGCAAAAAGATTGACTCTAATTTGCATATTTGTTTGTTATAACGATTAAAAACTAACAAATAATGCACCCATAACATTTGTTGTACTAGGTAAAGTATATATATACCAAAATTAAAATTTTAATTTTAATTTTTGTAAACTCTCTTCTTTTTTTTTTTTTATATTCTCCCCATGTTAAAAAAAAAAAAAAAAACTAACAAATAACTAATCATTTAAACCAACCACTATATTAAAATATTCTAAACCGACACAAGAAAAGTAAGGAAATCGTTTATTTTATATTTGAAAGGGAATTTATTGGGTGAGGGAGAAATCACAAAGTGGGGTTTTTAATTTTTATTTTTTTTATGTAAAGATTAAAAATTAAATTTTAAATTTATGATTAAAAATACTTATAAGTTTATCATTAAATTACATAACTATGATACAAAATAATTGATATATAACCCTTTAGTATATTTTTCTGTTTATCATCATGGGCGCTTGGACGGCCACAGAAATTAAAATTGAGAAAAAACTTCACCATAGCTAAATCCTTTCATGATGCTTTTTATATATAGAGGAAGACTGTTATGTACACTTGATGTGAGTTTGAGTGCTGAAACATTCTTCTTTTTATTGGTTTATTTTATTTATTTTTAATTTTAATCAAAATGAAAATATAATTAGGCCAATAAAAATCCAATTATTTACTGAGTGAGTGCAGTTAACATTTCTCATATATGCACAGAGGACTTGCGCATGTACGGAAATTGCATATATGCAACATCTATATATAAAATGCCTGTATATGTGTGTAAATATAGGGGACCCTTTAGGGAGAACCCGATCACGTACGGCACCGCTCCTTTTATTGTCGTCGGTGCTAATACCACACAATTCGCATCTTTGAACGAATTAATGTTGTACTTGAATTAATTCCCCTCCTAACTTCATTCTCTAGGTCAGCACGGCATGTTCGATAGGCTATAGCCTGGTCCATACACTAAAAGGACATTTTTTTTCTATGGCGAAACACTTTATGCAGTACTTCTGAATTTGATATACATACGGTTAAGCATATAAAGAACAAAATATCTGCACAACTTTCTAATCAAAAGTCTCTCAAGTTTGAAATTTTCAACAAGAGCTTTTTGTGATCACAGTCTTTGACGTAATTTGATTGGACCATTTGAGTTTCTAAGTAATTTGATTGGTATGATTGGCAAGCACCCTTACCTTCCACGTTATTAAACAAGATTTTTGAAAGTGAGATAGGAAGACAAAAAAACAAACATTGTAGTAATTAGTGCATGAAATAATTTGCATGCAAGTATTAACGAAGTAAAGAACTATAGATGATAGTATTGAAACATCAATTTTGATTTTGAGAAATGGTTTTGTAATTTAAACTGCATTTAATTATAAAATATTAGTTATTAGATAATAAGTGTCCTTAATAATTGATAAAGGTTTTTTCACTCACTAATATAATGTTTTATAATTTAAATTATAAAATACTAAACTCGTTAATTTGATTTAATATAGGACTGTTCCTAGTGTGAAGAATCCTCAATAATGATTAATTATAATAAGGGCAAAAGAAAAAATTAAGATGTTTTATATGTATAATAATAGTCACATAATAAATATAATAAAATTAAAACTCACATTATATTCTACATATTTAATGAAAATAATTGAATGTCTTAACTTTTAAAAAACCGTGTTAATTTTCTTTTTTTTTTTTCTTAATTAATTAACATTTCTTTAGACTTTCAGGGCACTCTTTTTTGCCCTAAATAGTGGGACTTTCGGCAGTGGTCGGTAGCATGGCTAAGACATACGAGAAGGACTTAAACATTTCACATTTGTTAATTATAACAAAAATTCGATTAGTGGCCACAGCTTCTTAAACTTAGTATATATAATTAAAGAAGATAAGGGCCACCACTTTCTATCTCCTTTTGACTCTTCTCTTTTGATACAACGCTCCCTTCTTTTTTTTTTTCCTGGAAAAGTAGTACATATGCCATTTCTTGTTTTGGTTATGTTAGCCAAACTTTTATTAATGACTT